GACCTCTCAACTAGCATCTTTGTGCTTAAATCTGAGAGTAGCTGAGTGTCTCCAGCTAGGTGCAGAACACAGCACCTGCACCCATCTCAGCTTGACTATTGGGGTTTGGATACAGGAGCACTATACTGTGAGATAACTGCTTCTTTTCCAGGCTGCTCCCTGGTCTGTATGCAAGATAGGAACTACTGTGGTGTTCAGTGGACGTATATGTCCCTTATTATGGACCGGCAACCTCCTTCTCCTCTTCCCAACCTCCCCCACCCTTCCAGCATCAACACACACCTCTAGTTTCTAAAGGAAAGAGAAATGTTGAGGTTGCCTAGTCAATCTTCATTTCTAAAAATCATTCTGGAAACAGGACTGGATATAGGCCATTCTATAATATGTAGGGCAAAATACAATCCTACATCCTAAAATGATGGAGAGTGATGGGACATGATGAAGTGTAAAATATCAGCATTCTATACAAAAATGCAAGTAATCAAGGCCCAGATGCAGATATGCTTGCCTTGCATGGCACTCTATAAATGCTCTCATTGAAATAAATTGTACTATCAGTAGAGTGAGTAAGGTACTGATCAGCATAAGCAAAGGCATCAACATAATGCCCTAAATGAGATACAGCATAGCTCCTGATTGCCACAATATAGCCCATTAAACATTTAAAGGTTACAGGTTGTCTCAGATTTCTTTATCATGAAAAAAGAGAAAGAAACCTTCTTGTAAGAGGCTTTGAAGTAAATTGGCAAAATGAATCATAAGCACACTCTGTAAGCTATATTAACTCACTATGGCATATGCCCTAATTTGCATAATTAATTCATTTCACAGCACACTATTTTGTAATGTTGTATATAAGGTGCCCCTTTCAATTGAGTGCCGAACCAGATGCATGACTGTAATCATATAATGTTCCCAGGCAATAATTTTCAATTATTTCTTTAATGACATTTGATGGAATGCAATTACTAAAACTTGTATCTAATTGTCCAAGGAAAAAAAAGATCTGCCAGTATTTTCTTTAACAGATCATTACTATGTCCTCCTACAACTCCAGTCTTTGTGCTTCTTTCAGTCAACACCAGGTTGCTCTTATTTATGATCAAAAGGTGCTTTTGTAAAATGATGGTTATTACAATTCATTTTGAACACTAGTATCTCTTGAGCCTTTGACACCTTCAACAGAATGAGTAAGGTGTTTCTTTCTGGTGGATTTACTTAGTGAATCAGTGTACAAAAGGACTACTTTGTTTGAAGGGAGTCGTCACTAGGCTGACGTCATTGAGCAGCTTATCAAGATCTCTAGTACTTGAAAACATTAAAAGCCTATTTCCCTAGATTTGTGGTGCATTCAGCTGCATCAATTCTGTCATTTCTATGAATGCTACTTAAAAGTTTCATTTAAACTGAAATAAAGGTAAATGTCAATGTCTAGGTCTCTCAAGTTAATATAATTTGTCTTCTAAGCATCTACCACATATTTGTTTAAATGCACAAAGAAACAAGGAACTTTTTTCACATCACTGTATTTTTTTTACTTCAATTATTAGACTGCAAGTAGTATTTACCTTTCTATTGATTTTCAGATGCATTCTGATAAAAGCATGTCTCTCATTTAAACACTAATTATGTGTCCTCTCAAGAGCTGAGAGTTTTTTGATGGGAAAAAAAAACAGGTAAGCAGGCTTACTCTTCAGTTATAAAGTAAAAAATGGTTTCTAAATTTGCGAAGGTAGGAGAAATTTAATTAAAGTAAATAGATCTATCTTCAGTTTGTCTTTGTCTCTCACTTGGATATATCTTGTTAACAGACAGGATTGTGCTGTCATGTTTAAAGATTTAAAGAAATCTGTGTGTGCAGATATTGCTTGAAATCTCACCTGTGTACAGGTCACTGCAGTGTATCCTCAGCTCAGGGTGGCCCAGGAAGCTGATGTTGCTGGCCAAACAAGAATGGTTCTGATGTACAGGAATCATCCATGAGGTATAGCCAATACAATGAAACCTAGATATTTCACGGGGTTAAGTTCCTAACTTCCCTGCAAAGATGAGAGTTTGTAAAGTATCTGAGGGCAAATTGAGCTTCGGGGGGAAAAAAAAAAACTTGGTAGGACCACTGAAGTACACTGATTGAGGGGAAAAGGTGGCACCTTTTAAGTAAATCCTGCAACAAACAGCAATGGACTTACAGTATTTCTGACTTAGCAATCCAATGAAAATTAAGCCTGTTGTGAACCACCTAGCTACAAGTGATCCTGGTTCTACCAGGATCACAGTTTAACTCTCCTTCCTCACAGCTTAGAAGAAGGAAGGTGGATGATCCTCCCCACTTTCTGGCCACCCATAGCTTGCCCAGAAGGTCATTTTAGTTTTTGTAGTGTAGTGGTTATCAAAACACTGTTCAAAACCAGGCAGAAACAGCCCTTTTGACAATATTTAGAGGTGGTTTCAGTTTACACCAGAGAACAAACTGCGTGCGCAGCTGGTCCAGGCTTAGGAGGCAACAGTAACTAAATGTATTCACTCAGTTGTGCTATGCTATTTGGGCTATTTTCTTTTATTGTTCGGTCTCTAGACTTATCTCAAAAAAGTAATGTGGTTTTGTGGTTGGGTTTTTGGGGGGGGTTTTAAAGGCTGACAGAATTTGACAGTTGTCTTTGTAATTTTGGGGTCCTATAAAACTTCTTTTTCATTTCATTTGAGTCATTCCCTGTTAATTCATACAGGTCATCTGCAATAAAGCCCTATTCAGAGGAGGATTAGGTAACACTGATCCCCTTATAAATTCAGATTGAATGGCTGCTGCATGGAATAGCTATTCCCCTGTTAACAGTATAGTCACACCCAGGCTAGCTGTGATTTTGCAGTTTTCATCAGGAGGAAGGCTGCTTTACCAAGTGTCTAATTAGAGAGTAGCAGCTTTCCCAGTTTTGTAGGTTATTTCCAAAGCCTCTTAGTCAAAACTAATAATAGATAAACTGGTCCTAATTGGGCGACCCTACACCAAGCTTTTGGCTAATAATGCTGAACCTAGGAAATAATAAAGGTCAGAGCAGCCTAGTCTAGAGATTTACACTGATTTATGTTCTCCTGACCTGGAGGATGTGTAAGGACTAGGGCACCATTAAGTGTTCTGGAAAACCTAGAGGTGATTGTAACAAAGGAAGCCTTGCTTTACAAATTGGTGTTTCCTTCCTGCCACTGTGGTCTCACTGGAAGTAAAATTACCATTTAAATCAAGATATATAACATCACCCAAGACAAAAAGCTAAAAAAATTGAAAACTTTCTTGGCTACTCTCATAATGTAAATCCTATCTAAAGGTTGACCATAATATATCCAAATATACTGCAAAGTCCAATGCATTCTGCTTCTTCTGCCACTGCAGCAGTACCCAACCTTGTGGCCTACTGAGCCAAATTAGTCTTGCAGTGTTGGTTTATGGGCTAGAATTGGTCTATGGGCCTGACTGGGTGCAGCTGGGACAATATGTGCTGAATTGGGCCCCAGCCCTGGCCCCATGCATGGTGGATCAGGACCACTCACCCCCTCCATCCCAACCTGCTCACTGGGCCATGTTATCTAGCCCATGGGGCTTGGAAATTTGGCAGAGGGGGAATGGTGGCAGCATTAATTACCACCACTCCCCTGCCACCACATTTCTAGACCATTGAGGAGCTCTGTCAGTCAGGTCACACAAGAGCTGCAAAATCTGGCCTGCAGGCCAGGGGTTGACTACCTCTCTACCACTGCAATGCCTGTGTTTTACATTGTCTGATGATAATGGCCTGGCAATAACAACTGCCCCTTGACATGCCCATTGGGTCTGTGACAGAAACAAGTGTCTCCTAAAATTATAGATTGCAATTCTTAGAGGGGAAATACATAATTACAGTGATAAAAATGTGTATTGGAAATATTCTATTCATTAGCAAAAGGTGCTTGGGGCTGAGGTGGTAAAGCTTATTCATCTAAGCCATTCTTAAGTCATATCTTAGTAGACTGTATCCAAAGTCATTATTTTCTCGCCTTACACAAAAAATAAGTCACACACTCTCAGTATTGATACCTTTTATTGTAGACTAAGGAAAACAACAAAGCAAGGAAAATAAAGACACAAAATATAAAGCATCTATGAGAACAAAGCAGAGCGTCTCCACCATCTGTAGGGCAAAGTTACCATCAAACTTAGACCATACTATAGGTACTTAAAACGAGAGTATATGTATATTAAAGCTTGTTAAGTCATGCTACATACCCTTAGAGCTTCTCAAAGTTATGCCACTTCAGGCAAGGGTTAACTCTGAGCTGTGCTACCTAGCTCATGTTTGGGAAACTTTAGTCTGCTCCACAGCGATCAAGTGGCAATCTGAAGTCCTCCAGAATTGCAGACCATGCTGCTGCTAGCCCCACCCTATCCAGAGCAGGGAGAGGGAACAAATGTCCTGGCTCCTAGCCATGCCCCTGCATGCCAGCCCTCTAGTGGCAAGTCAGAGCAGTGCAGCCAAGAAATGGTATTAACCCTTAATGTTCTAACTTTAACATTGCTTAATATTCAACAGATTGAGCATGGTCTAAGTGTAATGTATAACTTCACCCTAAGGTCATCCCAGAATAGCTTCTACAGCAGCCTAGATTCCTCCCTGTAAAGGCACACCACAGTGAAAATGGTCTCATTTACAGCTGCTCTGAAGACCCACTTCTTCCACAACCCCAACAAGTAGCATGCTGAGTTATCTATTTATTTAGTTTGTTAATATTTATGCCAAGGAAAGGGACTGGTTGGCGCAATGGAGCAGAATAAACACAACAGAAGTGACACTGGAGAATATGAAGTAACAATAATTACAGGCTGAATAGCAGCAAAGCATCTTGCTTAAATGGATGGAAGGTAGGTGATACTGCAGCCTGTTAGTACATATGAAGGGAAGGATTAAGAAATTAAAAAGGTGGTCCAGAAAAAATGGAAATGGGCCAAAAATATCAAATCTTTTGTCTGCAAACAAGAAAATTCAAAACTAAATGCAAAAAGTTAATGATGTTTCATTCCAAATGGTCCCTTTCAAATATGGGATAATCTCCTTCCCCCTCCAGAATACATTACATTTCAACAAAGCCCCATTTTTCAACAGGAAAGATTTGGTCAATAAACTGGGGTGCATGCAGGTGGAGATGGCAATCTTCTCAATGGTAAAGCAGCAAACATGTAGAAAGGGTGAGTGACCCTTAAGAAACTGATCTGGAGTCTGTGTCTTAGTGAGCTGAAAAAAATATCTGGGGTAAAGGCAAGAATTAAATCTTTGAACATACTTAGGGCCAGACCCTTAGGTTGTGTACACTGACGTAGGTCCTCTGGAATTTACTCTAGCTGGTGATCTGATCTTTTGTATTTAGTTACATTAACAAGGTAACATAAGATATAGCTGTATTCACAAAATGCAGATGAGTGCTAACCAGCTAAGCATGCTTCAGTTACATTGGTGTCTAAGGGACTGATTTACTTATCATTTCTAAATTCCTGTGTTCTTTAGTTGTTCTTCAAAGAAATCATTGCATGCTACAGTCAAAGCAGCAACCAGAACCACAAACTCATTAAAATCCACTTCATTGTCTTTATTGGTGTCCAGATCTCTCATAATCTTATCAACCAACTGGGGATCCTTCTGGCACTAGAAAGAAAACACAGAACCTTCATTTATTAACCTAGAGCTGCTGGTCCTTTCCTTTAAAACTTAATGCAAAGAACATTGAGGCAGGTTATGTTTAAGGGTTCTCTCAAGGGTAGGTACTGTAGCCCCACAGAGCTGCAAGGAAATCTGTTTTACCTTGTACATTTCATTAACTATGTAAGTGTTTCTCAAATCTGTACTCATTTTAACAAGAAAACTGACTTAGCTGTACAAATCTTGAATGTATAGTTCTAATGTACCTGATTATACAATTTAGCAATATACTAAAAGTTCAGTTATTATCAATTCTTTCAACCAGTTCTTAAAAAATATAAATTTTGGAATGGATTTGTTAAAAATACAAACTGTATAAAATGCTCATCCCAGGATGAGTATGTCACTACTAACAGTGTTAAAAGTATAGACGTAGATGTTCAATATTACTCAGCAACCAATCCTGGAGTCAGATCTTCAAAGGAACTGAGTTCCAGTATAGGCACCTAAATGAAACAACTAGATTTATGACCTACTGACTTCTGATCACTTTCAAAAGTACAGCCTATACTATCTGTTTTACTGTATAAAGTATATCATTAAAAAAATTATGCGCATCATGTAAAGAGCTCAATAGGGACAAGAGTAGCAGCATCTTCTCATAAAACAATAGACAAGATTAAAAAAAAGAAAATCCAATTAAAAAATTGATACATAGATTTAAAAAAATCCTGCTGTCCCTATTACAGGCCACAAAAAATTCTTAGCATTAAAAGAACATGGGAACTCAGTTATGTAGGAAATTGTTATTCCATACCATTTCAGTATTACATAATTGATGAACATTGTAAATGTGAGCAAATAAATAGCATTAATTATCAATTACTGAGGACTCTTACAATGAAAAGCACAGATAGGAAATCATATTTAGAATAATGGATTTCCAATAAACCTACGAACAAATGTGAACCATATACCTATGGGACTAAAGAAGCCTCTAAAGCAGTGGTTCTCAACCAAGGTGCCCTGGCACCCTGAGATAGCTTGAGATCCTTTCAGGGGTGCCACAGGAGGCAATGCAATGTGGATACCGTTAGGTATGCCAATATGATTCACAAAATAAACCCAGAGATTTCAAATGGGAAATGTCATAGTGTTAAAAGCATTCTGACTTGTGGCCTCTTTGAGTTGTTTGGAAAAGAAAAATTGCTCTAGTATTTTTCTGTAGTCAGTAAATGAGCAAAAACTATGAGCTGACATTTTCCAAAGGGGTGCCTTGAGTCTAGTGAAGGGAGCCTTGAACTGTTCAAGTGGTGCCTTGAATTTAAAGAGGCTGAGACCCACTGATCTAAAAGACAGGAAATATTCTGATTCTGATCAGAAATACTCAGTTTGTGTCTGGATTAAATAAGCACTTGGATGTACTATACTTAAAGCACTCGCCCAAAGGACTCTATATATTGGATTGGGTTCCACTGATGTCTAGTATACACTCAGTCTCAAATAAATTGATTTGAACCTGCTTTAACCATATCATTTTTTTCTATCAATGTTAAACTGAATTTGGCCTCCCTGCAGGAAAACAATGATGACTAAGCAGAATGGGCACCAGATTGTTTGGTTTCATCACATGCAACAAATCACTGGAAACCAAACTACACACTTCTCAAACAGCATACTTGATACTAACTCCTCTTTGACTTTGAAAAAAACCCACTGTCATTTGAGCATGCAGTGTAGAAGCTGTCATAGCTCAGACTGGACTATGCAAAGAAATAGCATTCCATTACCCTTCAATAGATTCAGTAGCTATTTCTCCCACCTGTTAAACATTAACCAAACATAATTAAACTGAAAGATAACTGAAACTGTCTTACTGAGAGAAATTCAGTGAGCTCACTGGTGAGGAGCTGTTTGAGTTCTCCTTTATTGAGTTTGTATTTGTCCCCTTCTTTGCCTGAGTAATGGTGAAAAACCCGGATCAGGGTGTCCATAGCATTCTCCAGCTGTGTAGGCATCTTGGGGAGTGGGACAGCTATGGGCCAGAGAAAAAAATCATTGACATTGTGCTTTCATCAGACAGAACATTTAATCCTAGTGAAAGGAAACTGAGAATCACCTGGAGCAGTTGGAAAACAGAAACTACTGTAAATACTGAAAAGGGCAAGTGTTCTATTGATTTATAGAATCAAATACCTATCAACAGTGTTGGACTATGACACTGAAACAAAACACTGCATTGCTGACATCATAGAACAGCCCTGTAAAACAGATCTGATCAGTTAAACAAAATGCTCTCTTGAGCATCTATGCTGAACTGTTTGCAAAGCTACACACGATAAACAGGAAAACACTTGTACAGCAATCTGGAAATAGCCAGAAATAAAGCATATTAGACCAGTACAAACTCTCCTACCTGCTCATCCAAATGGGTTCAAAGAAAGTAATGTCAACAGGTAATGATTCCTAACTTGTTTGCGCATTTATATTGAATGCTCCACCCTAGTGCACAAATTTTCCAGGTGCTCAAAGGGAAATTGCCAGTGCTGTAGCATCAGCTTTCACTTAGTTTAGACCGCTTTTTTTCAGTCACCTGTGTTGAGCAGGTGTGAGCTTCTGTCCTCAAGTTGCATCCCATGGGGTCTGCTTCACTGAGCATATAGCAAGGTAAGTGGGGAAAAGCTCTCCATTCATTAAAACAGAAAAGGATGGAAATGTAATTAGTTGCTTAGAAGCTAAGAACTAGGAGAAGTAAATACAAATAGAAAATAAGCAAAGGGGAAACATTTTGCTTAATGCCATACAGATCTTAGGAAGCCAGAATGAAGTTACAGGTTGCACTAAAGTCAGATGCAAAACCCAATACGTATCAACTTTAGGAACTTGATAAAGTGAAAACATAGATACAAAATTCTGTAGCTAATGGTTTCTTGATGTTTAAAACTATATACCTGCTGCTTACATTGATTGTGTTCTTTACCAATGTATAGACAGACAGGTACAGGCAAGCTTTCCTAGCATAGTTACAAAGAGATTTTTTCCCACTCCCTGTGTACTTGCTTATTCTGTTTAATGCTTTTCATTCTAAACAGCTCACTAAAACATTTAGTTAAAAATACTAATTCAGAGTAGTAATGGGCTGTAAATGGAACAGGCACAATTTTTATCATGTGACCTTTTAAATCTATGCCTATGTGGTGCTCTGGAGATCAAAACTAGAACGTGACAATGACAAAAAGGGCATGTCTACACATAGCCGTACGGTGCCTTTTACTGTGTCATCATTTAGTACTTCCTTTCAGAAGTACTAAAAGATGGTGCAATAACAGCCTGTACTGTGCCATGCTGGCTGCACATGGTTATTTTGACCACTACATCGCTGTAGCAACGCGCTGTAATGAGGGAACACATTGCTACGCCGGTGTAGCGGTGGCATCACGGTTTTTGCCAATGGATGATACAGTGGATGGCACTGTAGTGTGTCGCTATGGCACCGTAGCATCTTGTATAGATGCGACTGAAGACAACTAAAAAAAAAATGCTCCCCCTGCCCACTGTCTCTTTCTAATCTATTGGTGTATTTCTAGAGCAGGAAGCCTCAATGTCTAGGCACTCAGGGCCAGAATTTCAAAGATATTTAATAAAGATAAGTTCTGAGGCAACTATGAAAATCCCACCAAATGTTGGCCTGCATCTGCAGATGCCTAAATGCCTTTACAAATCTGACTTCACTGATTAAAGCTCTCACTCAGGAGAAAACCAAGTGGCCTAATAAAGGGACAAGTAAATAGGTGAATCCTACTTTGTGCTCAGGTCAACAAGCTAAGTTGGGACTTTGTCTGTCCAGGCAAAGCACAGTCAAGAAGCAAGAACCTTCAGTCATAGTGCTCTGCCCTCAAATTTGCCAACATATTTTATCTTTCAATACTGTCATTCATCCCAGGACCAAGCAGGCTGAGTGTTTCCCTCCTTGTAATACATTCTTAGTTTATCTTTAGGAATGAAAGATCATACCCTGCAAAGCTCCAGCTAAGATAAAACATAGTCACTTTTCTAATTAATGGCACAAACACAATGGCCTAAACACATACTCAGTGTGCTCTTTTCTCTCATTTCCTTCTATCCCCACCCTCAAGTACTGCCCAGTTCATAGAAAAGTAGGGCTGGAAGGCATCTCAGGAGGTCATGCAGTCCAAACCCCTGTCAAGGTAGGATCATCCCTATCCAAACCATCCTATTCAGAGGCATAATGTGGGAAGAATGTGCCTGGGACAGTTCTCTCTCAGCTCTCCTCCCATCTTACCTTCTAGCTTTAGGGAAAGGTAGCACACAGGAGCAGCTGCTTGGCAGCGTGTGTCACGTGTAGTGCAAGGCATTCTGAGAACTGCAGATCTCTAGAACGACAGTGGAGTTTGCTGCTATTGGGGAAAACTTTCACCCCATTTTGTTGCTGCTGAAGCCCATGTCCCTTCTCATCCCAAATGTGGTGATCGGTTTGACCCTGAGTGAAGTGGCAAGACCTTCTAACCAGTAACATCCGGGTTTTAATCACATAAGGAGCACAGGCACACCCCAGTCAAAAGCTCTAGACTTGGTTGCAGCCAACAGCCAATGCTTCTGAGGAAAGTGGGAAGAAAAACAAAAACACAAAACAAAACTGACACCTGTGGTAACAGGGGAGGAAAACATTCGCTTCTGGCCCCACGTGGCAACCAGCAAAGCCCAAAAGCACAGGAAAAACCAAACACCCTCAGCTCTGCTCTGCAACCTGGGGATAACTACAAATTCCATGCCAAGCTATAGAGTTCAAGGTTTCTGTCCCGATGATCAAAGCGCTCCATAAGACTGACCTCAGAATAACCTCCCCTCTGTGACCAAGACTTTCCATTGCAGCTTTGTTCCACTGGGATCGTGATACTGCTGATCGACTGGGAAAGGCTCGTCACGGTGCAGGAGACAGAGCCATGATGGGACCAGGACAATCTCTGTGGATAGGAGACAAAAATGACAATGGGCCTGCCTCACTACTTTCAGAACTAAATGTAAAACCATTTCTTTGACTTTGATTTCCACCAACTTCTTTGACCATGCTCCTCCGGAGCATACACCAAGCACACAAACAGATATGCTATCTATAGATCTATTTCTCCTTCAGTCTAGGAAAAAAGGCAGTTGCTTTAGTTTCTAAGGCATCTTTCAAGAAGCCATCCTTGTGCTGGTCTCTCGCTCTCTCTCCTACGATCACTACCACTTTCATTATTGCTCAGAAGTGTTTATTAATAGAGAGAAATAAATAAATAGCAAAAGTTAAAGGCAGCTGCATATATATAATTCATCATCTAGCTACTGAATATAGTAATTCAATTAGCTAAGCAGTGAATACAATGGGTGTAACTTTCAGATGATAGGTATAAACTTTCAGTGCCCCCATCTTCAGAACACAAAAAGAAAGTCTACTCCAGCTTTTCCAGCCCATCAGTTTAATAATTTATACAATGATATAATCTGCCCAGTCTCCTCCAGTAGTCGTAGTGTTTTTCTTTAGCTAATTGTTTGAAAGTCTCGTTATTCCAGGTAGCTGTTTATATACATATACTGTGACCAGCTGTGTCAAAGTTGCTAGTTAAGATAATTTTTCATTTACTTTACAGACAATTTCCTCCTGGTCCCACAAAACTCCTCTCTCAGAGGAATCTCACAGGATGGTTTCACAAAGTGAGCGGCAGCTGCTCAGCACTTCTGAGGATCAGGCCATTGAGATTTACCCAGAATTCATGGCAGCCAATTGATCAACTTAATCCTCCCCCTGCACTGTTCCACGCTCCAAAATTTTGCAGGCTATCCTATATGTTGCTAGCTAACCAAAGGCCACTGAAGTCAAGGGAGAGTCCTAGTGGAATTAGGCCCTACATCAATTCACTTCCTTGTTAATAAAAAAAACTTCATATATTTCAACAGCCTGCCCTATAAAACAGATACAAAGCTAACAGTAGCCTGATCTTCTGGCTTAGCTAATACACACCCTGTATTTAAGACTTTTTTTAATTAGCTGTTTGCTGCTTTTGCTCAGTAGCACATGTATTATCCTTCCAACAACCAATAACTAAAACAGCTTGGTCTTCTAGGTTGGTAGGAATGCACACATTGTAAGACCCCTGGCTGTCAGAGGGGTAGTGGAAGGTTTAAAACCATTGTCATGCTGCACAGAGCGGATAGTTTACAACAACCTGTCATATAAAGCAAGGTTTGGCCACCTTTGCTTATACTGCATAGTAGCTTACTGCATGAACTGCCCATCTGAGGGTAAGATTGTCTCTTGCTCTGTGCAGTTGTGAGATGGAAGGAGGCATAAAGCACTGCTTTAATCTTCTGTCTATGGACCTGGTGGGCCTCAGCCTGGAGGGAGACAGCCTCTGTGGTAATATTACTCTCCTTCTCATGTCATGGGCAGATAGGAGTCTGGAATGAGTGTTATCGTGGCTTCATTCTTTCTCACAGTGTGCTGGATACTAGCACAGCTGAAGTGTGGCACATGGGTTAAGGGGGCAAAACTATCTCTTTCCATTTGGATAGAGCAGATTTCTTTCCTCACTATGTGCTAGCTCCGTTCCTTTAGCTTACCCTGTCCCCTCTACACACTCCATCAGGGTCCTGCTCTATACAAGAAAGTACTACACGAGGTCTCTCAACTGTGGACCACATGTGGCCACTGAGGAGGTGACCCCTGGGCTTCTGGTCTGGGAAACACTCCCCCATCACCCTCTGACTACTGCCACTGGAGTTTCTGACCTCCCCTCTCCCTCCAGCTTTCACTTTCTGGCCACATTTCTCGAGATAGAGTGATGTGGCATGGCTTATGGGGCCAAGAACAGGAGAGCAACCACCACATGGTGTGCCAGCACAGTGCGGTAGGGTGGGACCTGCTATGCAGCATGCACCTGCTAACCACTTAGAAATTGGACAGCCCTGACTACTCCAACTGCAATAATGTAGTGCAGGGGAAATATCTAAAGCTTCTGCACTTGCTTTGTTCAG